TGTTGTAGATTTAAGAATATCTAATATGTACAAATATAAATAGGTTTTATGTCTTATATTTATCTGCATATATTTGTGTTGTAGATTTAAGAATACCTAATATGTACAAATATAAATAGGTTTTATGTCTTATATTTATCTGCATGTATTTGTGTTGTATATTTCAGAACACCTAATATGTACAAATATAAATAGGTTTTATGTCTTATATTTATCTGCATAGATTTGTGTTGTAGATTTAAGAATACCTAATATGTACAAATAAAGACTTAGACATTTCCATGAATTCTTTTTATTGCAGAAATAAATTTATTTACTTGAGGTAAACAAGATTACAAATTAAAACGAGTTCTTCTAAAAATGATGATTAAAAACTGCCAAATTGTTTTCAAACAGAAACCCACCCCATATTAGTCCTGCAGCAAATTAAAGAATCCTTAAGAAAGAATCTTTAAGAAAGAATCTTTAAGAATCCTTAAAGATTTTAAGTTCTGCACTGCTCAACAGAGGATTTTGAAAATTAATTAACACTGATGGTTTATATCCCCAAGGTAAACTAATCATGCTCTGAAAGTTTCCCCCAGCTCCAAGGAAAATAAGCAAATATTCCAAATTTTGCAGCTCCTGAAGGGCACAAAGCTGAGCTCACACCCACCTTGTCAATGATCTTTTGGAAGTGAACCTGCACGGAGCAGCTGGGGATGTCCTGGTGCCCATCCGAGTTGTGGATCAGCACCGAGAGCTTTTTGGAACGGATTTTTTGGGCTCGGTAACCGAACACAAAGAGCAGGGAATCGATGACGTTGGATTTGCCGCTGCCGTTGGGGCCGACAATACACGAGAATCGCTGCGGGGAGGGGAAGGTGATCAGAGAGGGAAAGCAGAGCTGCCCACCCAAAAACACAAAAAACACAACTGCTGAGAGCTGAGCTCTGCCTGCCAAGGGAAAAGGGAATAAAAACCCCAGAGCTCAGCTCAGCTTTCCCAACCCAAGCCCTGCACTTTGCAGCCTTCACAAGCAAAGTTTCATGCTCAGCCACGTTTAAGTCTCTTGTGGGCACAAAAAAAAAAAATATTCTCTTGCTCAAAGTTCTGCAGCAAACGAAATCAAGAGAAAGGAGAGTTTTTCTAAGCTGTGCTGACAAATGAAAATTGCACAGCGTTGCAAAGTTGCACTTAAGTGTTTTCTCTACTTAATTTAGAATATTACTATCAAAATATTTTGAAGCCTTAAATATTTTTTCAGTTATGTTGAGGTCAGCTTAGATGAAGAAAAAGCAGGAAGGAATTAATACCACCCAGTCAAGTCTTACCTTCAGTTGCAAACTACTTAAGGAAAAAGAGAAAGATACCTTGTGAAAAGGTCCCAGAATTTTCTCCCCTGCATAGGATTTGAAGTTGTGGTTTACAATGTGAGTGATCATGAGGCGAGGAGCACCAGGTTCACTGGTCATTGCTGGAGGTGGGGGAGGAGGGATGCTACCCAAAATCTCTTCTAAACTTCGATTATCCACCACCTCATCTGAGCCTGCTAAAACCCATCCAAACAAACAGAAAGATAAAAAAAAAAACAAAAAAAATTTGTAAGCTCTCAGTGATTTGACACCTTTTTACAATGTTGAACCGAAAAAAGCAAACATCATTTCTGTCTGAACCAAGCTACAATTTGGCCTGTAGTTATTAATATGAGCTGAGTGGAATTAAAATTCTTCTTTCCACAAACAAAATGTTTTTTAAGAGCTACTTAAGATGTCCCATCGCTGGGTTTGTTCTTTCATTATGTAATTCTTATTCCAGCACACTTTAACAGGCCCCCTGCAATTCCAGCGGCTCCAACCATCACAATAAATCTGCAAATGTGAAGCAGGCAAAGCCTTTTAAATGAATAAGTGCAAAGCCACATTTCAGAGTGTCTGTGCAGGACTCGGGGCTCTCTGAGAGGCTCTGAAAGCTGCAATGACAGCACGGCTGCTCTGCAAAGACAGGAAGTTTGTTACGAAAACAAAGTGGCCCCCTGGATATCAGCAGAGCAGCTTTTCCCCAGGCACCAGCAGCAGATTCTGCCACCAATTTCCATGGATTTGTCAAATACCTGCCTTCAACAACTGCACATCTGGCTCCCTAAAAAGTTACACAGCTGCTGGTTTTGCAGATTTTTTTTTTCTGCAAAAGCTCAACTCAAGAAAATACATTGCTTCGTGAAAAAAGAAAGTCAAATCATTTTAAGAGTTAAGTAAATAAACTTGACATTTATTCCATTCCAAGAAATCCCATACCATTGGCTGCCTATAAATTTGAAAAATCCTGCTGTTGTACCACAACCTTCAGTGCAATGTTGCAGATCAGAGCTCCGAAATGGGCTTTATTAGCAGAAAGGCTACAAATTGCTTTTGCACTTGTACTGGGCCAAACCCTTTAACTCTTTGCGAGTGAGTTTGACCATTTTAAAAGCAATCTGAAATTGCCTGGGGTTTCAGAGCTGCTTTGTAGAAGGGAACAGAGCAAATCCCTGCTGGAAGGGTTTTTGGAGGCCAGACCTACCTTGGGGAGGCTCTTTGCCATCAGGCTCCCTGGTGCCTTCGGGCTCCACTTCCATGGCCACGGAGGGCTCCTGCTCCCCTTCCATTGCGAGCAATCAAACCGAAGGGCTTTATCTCCTTTGCTAACACAAACAAGAGAACCCCGTGATCTCAGCCCAGCAATTCACCTACACCTCTGCCCAGATGCTCGACTCATTTAGAAACTTAAGGCTGGAGGCGTTTAGAAGACAAAAATCCCAAATTTGAAACAAAATATCGAGGTTAGCTTCATGATGATATATTTGAAGATACATCAGCCCCAAAACGAGGGGCTGAGCCTGATCTGTTTTAACCTGCTGCCAGCTCGGGGGACATGTCAGGGCAGTGAGTGCTCCCTGAAAGCCACCCTGGTGCTGGGGGCAAAAGGGTTAAAGACACATTGAATAACAAGCCCAAGAGCCACATGTCCCTGCAAGAACTCCTTATATTTCAGACCTGCCACTCGCTTTACTTTCAATAATCCGCGCTAAATATTTGTATGGCTATAGAGAGGTTGATAAACAGATAGAGAAACGAAAGCCCTGCGTGATTATAGCGAAGATTTGACTCTTAAAATTATTTAAATCGACACGCTCTGCTCGCAAAACACAACACAACCCCTCCTGCCAGCATCCAGCATTTCAGAGAGAAAGCAAAAATGAAATACCTTCATCTAGGCGGGATGTAAAAGTGATCTGAGCAAGGACGAGCATTACAAAAGCCATCAGCTGGCACTCGAGCACAGCTCCCCGAACGGGTGAACAGAAAGCACCCGATGAGAAGAAAAGGAGCAAAATTCTCCCCAAAGAGTTGAAATCGCAGCAAGTGGCGAAGTGAGTTCGCAGCAAAACAGACACGAGAAAGTTTACTTCTCACAAGATAAAAAAACTGACGTGGTTAGAAAGTCATCTTACAATTGGTGCCAATCATTTGACGTTTTCAGACCTACCCCCAGCCCACACTCTCATGAGAGTCCTTCGTGTGGGACAATGGGGGAGGGGGGAAATGAGAGACAGAACTCATTTTCAGGCAATTTCACTCCATGCCCCCGTTCAGAACTGTTCCGCAATGGCTGTCGCGGACAATTACAGCCTCTCAAAGCACATTTTTTTTTTTTTTTTTCCCCCAAACTGCTCCACTCCAACAGAATTGTGCAATATAGACCTATTTACCTTCCCAACCCTTCCCCCCCGCTCGGACACTTCAGCAGAAAGAACAAGCCGAACTACTTGACCTCAGCTTTTAAATCGCGATAAATCGGCTGCCACATCGTCTCTAACAAATTTAACAAATTCGTGCCCAGCCCCTCCCCCGAGCCAGCTCGAAGGTGTTCGGTTAAAGCATCTCTGCTGCCAAGCGCCGCTTTCCTCACGGGGACGGCCAGAAAAGCTTCCTTATGAACAGCCGATTAAATGTGATAGCGACAAGCCCTGTCAGTGACAAATCTGGGGCTTTTTCAAAGCACAAGGAGCCAGACTGCACCCTTGTCACGCTCTTTCCAAGTCACAGAATCCCAGAATATTCCGAGCTGGAAAGGACCCACAGGGATCATCATCGAGTCCAGCTCTTTTAAACGAATCGTTAAGAGCTTTCTTGGGATTTTTCTCTCACCCTTCAAGCATCAAAGCAGCAGGCAGAGCCAGGGATAGGAGGGTCCCTCTGTAAGCAGATTAAAGTCGGG